CGATGAATCATACGAAGACCGAAATTTAATTTGTATTTTTTTCTTGTTGACTTGGTTGTAAGTTAGATTGTTTATTTTTTTTTAATTTAGTTGGACAAATAATTATTATTAACTTGGTCGTGAGAGTCATTTTTAATAACGTGACTCTAGCAATACTTGTTACTAACTTTATAACCGTTTTTAGTAATTGGTTGTTCTATGTAATTGAATTTATCTTATTTAAATTTAAAACATTTTAAATTAAATTTTAATTTTTAAATTTTGGTTATTTTAATATTTAAAATTTATAATGTTTTAAAATTTTATTTAAACTATAAAATTATTGATTGTGTACTTGAAAAACATTATAAGTTTTCATTTTTGTTTTATTTTAAATTTATTATTAAAATAACTATAACATAAATTTAATATTTTTATATTTAAAAATTTATTAAAACTAAAATTTGTGATTTATCTGTGGTTATTTTATGCGGATTTATTTGAGGATCTTTTTGCCAAATATATTACTCATAATGGTTTTAGTTGGTAATCAAAAAGTCAGAAAAAACCATTTTATGCAAAGATTTAGTTAAAATATAGAAAAGGTTGTCCTAATGATTTTGACTATCTATTTTGATTGTATTCTTAAATTATTTTAATAGACTTCAGTTTCTAGTTTTTGTTAAAATATTGTACTTTTAAAGTAAGGGATGTGTTTCATAAAAAAAAAAGAAAAGATGTTACTTATTATTTTCTATGTATTAGACTTATTAATATAATGTAAATAATATGCTAAAGTTAATATTTTTAGTATTTTCTAAACAAATTATCAAGTGTGTTACAATGACATTATAACATTTAAAATTTAAATAATCGTGAAATTCACATCATACTATTAACAATTTAAAAATTGAGCATTTATAAATTTCAATCCACAAAAATGATAGAGTTATTTAGAGAATCAAAAGTATATCTAATTGAATTAATAAGTCCGGTGTTAAATTGCTCTCTAATAGTACTAAAAAAAATTTCAACAACTTCACCCATGATCTTTCCATGCCAAACTGTTGAACATAAGATTTACCTTTCAACCATGAATTCGAATGTTGAACATGCTATTCACCTTTCAACGGTGAATTAGAATGTTGAACATGAGATTCACCTTTCAACATTTATGAACTATCATGTTGAACATAAATATAACCTTTCAATGATTATTATAAACTTTGGAACGATGTCAAATTTTAATTTTTTATTAAAAGTTTTTCGTAAGTTATAATATGGATATTTGGGTCTTAAATTTTTTTGATGCTTAAGATAAACAATATTTCTTTCAATTTGTAATTGATGGAATTATGTATCATCTTTACCTATAAGACACACTTTATATATCATTTTTGTGGATTGAAATTTTTAAATGCTCAGTTTTTAAATTGTTAATAGTATGATGTGAATTTCACGATTATTTAAATTTTAAATGTTATAGTGTCATTGTAACACACTAAATAATTTGTTTAGAAAATACTAAAAATATTAACTTTAGCATATTATTTACATTATATTAATAAGTCTAATACATAGAAAATAATAAGTAACAAATAAATTAATATATTTTATAGTTACTAATAATAATTATATTTACATTATAAATTAATATATTTTATAGTTACTAATAATAATATTTTAATTATATTAATATTATTTATATTATAAATTAATATATTTTATAGTTACTAATAATAATGATATTAAAATCAAAAAACAAATAAATTTTTAAAACTTTAAATATGATAAAAAAAACAAGAAAAACGAAAAAAAATTGGAAACCCTAAAATTTAGCCACATTCGCCAATTCATGTGCCGACAACACATTGACCAATTTCCAAATGGCCTAATTCGCCATTCCATTTGGCGAATGCCTTAAAACAACATTTTAACTAATTCGCCAAACCATTTGACGAATGCCTGAATGAGTTTCAAAGTTTGTCATTTTGATAATTTTTTTGAAAACTTGTTTTATTTGATAATTAAATTATATAACATTGCTATTTTAAAAAAAATTCCAACATAATAATAGAAAAACCAATGGATAGGTTGTGTGAATTTGAGAGAAGTGTAGGAAAAATATATATATATATATATATATATATATATATATATATATATATATATATATATATATATATATATATATATATATATATATATATATATATATATATATATATATATATATATATATATATATATATATATATATATATATATATATATATATATATATATATATATATATATATATATATATATATATATATATATATATATATATATATATATATTTATAGTGGTTTAAATTAATTTTATTTTTTTGTTTTTAAAATTAGTTTTAAATTTTGTTTTAAAAAGTAAAATAAAAAATAAAACATACTTCTTAATATCATTTTTAAAAATTATTCTAGGGATGAAAAATAAAAAATAAAAAATTGTTTAATAGACATATTTTTATTCATAAATGAAATTGTGTTCATCAAGAGATAAATAAAATGGTATAAGATGATGGAGTAGAAAAGTAATAAAGAACACAATAATTGATAATTCAATTCAATGCAACAACACGTACATTTGAAAAATTGACTTCCAATCAAAAAAAGGAAATTCAATATTTGTAGCTCAGTACAATTTGTGTTACAAGCAATAACAAATTCTATACATGTTGAATGCCCCTTCCCAGCATTACCCAATGACTTTTTATATAGGACTCCCCTAAATATGAGAATCTCTCTTCATTTTTTTTTCAATCACTACATCTTAATAATTGGTGTTTAACCCAATTAACAATATTGATTATTACAACTCAACTAGACAAATCTCTTATCAAAAGTTACTTAAACATAGAGGTAAGTGTCCATAAACATGTTGAATTTACAACTCAACTAGACATACATAGAACTATGTCTAGTTACTGAAAAGTAGTGTGGTATATATAAAATATCAAGGACTTTTCTAAATTTTATCACTCTAAAATCTTTAATATTAATGTTTGTTTTCTAATTTAGGTTTAAGCTCATAATAACTCTGGGATATTATTTGTTTCATAAATCTTTTTAATAAGATATAATTTGTTACAATTTAAATTCAAATTTAAATATTCATTTAAATATGAATCAATCTTTGTTTAACTGTCAAACAAATCACTTAGAGCATCTTTAGTGGGAGTAAACTAAATGGGTAAACTAAGATACTTTTTGTGGGTCCAAAGTGATTTGTAGGATTTAAAAAATTTATAGTTGATTTGAGTAGTTTTTACTTTAATGGTGGTTGTCTATAAGAAACCAAAACTTGACCCCACATTTTATATTTTTTATTCAAGTTACCATTAATTTAATTATTTTAATTAAAATACATATAATTTTTTAAATAAAATTTACCTTAAAAATTTAAAAATAATATTAAATATATTTTATTATAAAATTAAAAATGATACAAAATTCACAACAATAATACATAAAAAAAATTACATTTTCATAGGAATATAATTATAATAAGTATTCGATTGGTTGGGATTCATTTGATAAATAAATAAGATTGGAAATTGAAAGAAAAAAATTTAGAAGTAAAACTGTGTGTAAAAAAAATTAAAATTTCTATAGAATTTATAGAAGGTAAAAAATAATAATATGACCGTTACTATTTTCAAATATCATATCCCTACTTTAATTTTGTTGGAATATTTAGAATATTTTATTAATATTAAATAATATTATAATAGGTTTCACATAGTTAACATTAACTATATAGATAATGGAAACTAAATTTTAGTTCACTTGGATGCCATGTCAGCTCTCCTATAACGCAAATTCTTTATTACTAACGTAAGCTATAAAGAATTTTGGTTTAACAACCCTTCGTTAAAGTTGCTCTTAAACATATCACAAAAATAATTAACAATAAAATCTAATCTAATTTTTGAACAAAAAAATCTTCCAAAACACAGTAGCAAAATGATTGATTGCGCGCCTAAATGTCGTACAAATATGTTGTGACATCGCATACAACATTTATCTCTTTTGCACCTGCATACAATTTAATCTTTTATGAATGTTTTTTTTTAAAAAATATTATATTATTCTATAACAATTACTACGTATGTTTAATTTGAAAATATTTTAGCTCTTTAGAAAAATTGTTAATTAAAAAAAGTGAGAAAAAGAATAGAAAAATACTTTCAAAAACCTCTAAATTTATTAAGTCGGATGCTGTTTAACATATTTAATAATTTTTTTTAACTCAATTCCGTTTAACTTAAGAAGTCAAAACTTCTAATACAAACAATTTTTAGATCAAATTTAAAACTATTTTAACAAGTCGCTTTTAACCGCTTAGCAAGCTTTTTTTTTTCTCTTAGTAATGAATAGGATAGAGCAATAAATAGATAGAATATTTGAAAATATAACAAAAAAATAGAATAAAAAGTCATATATAAAGTTAGAGAAATCCAAATGGTTTGCATGTAAAGAAGAGATACTAATTAGACTATGAAAAATAAGTAGCGTTGGAGATTTCTTTGGCCGCATACGACATTTGTGGTTTTATGAGCGGTGGAAGATTTCTTTGGCCGCATACGACATTATGGATTTTCTTCTTAAGTCTTTATGGATGGAGGATCTGTCCTCAATGTTATGTGATTAAAGAAGTGAGGTCGGTAACTTTTGTGTAATTTAGACACGATGCAAGCATGATAGATGTGGAAGTTTGAAACATTGCCACCACGCCTCATTTTATTATAAAATTCCCAACCTCAATCAGAAACATGTCGTGCAGTGCACTACTATGAAACATGTCTGTCTGCTCATATTTTAATCCAAAAAATGTAGGTGTCTGTTTTAAATAGTACCGCTTTTGCCTTTTCTTTATGTCCTTTTCCAGTGAGACATATGCTTGAAAAACAATCTACTACTACCCATAAATATCAACTCTCTCCAAGGAATAGAGAAACACACATTCACCTCACCTCAACAATGGAGTCTCAACAATCCCATAACCAGCTTCATGTTATTTTTCTTCCATTTCCATCTCCTGGCCATATGATTCCTATGGTTGACACAGCAAGACTATTTGCCAAACATGGTGTTAATGTTACTATCATTGCCACACATGCCAATGCTTCAACCTTCCAAAAAACCATAGACAGTGACTTCGATTCAGGACACTCCATCAAAACTCGTCTTATTCAGTTCCCTTCAGCTCAAGTTGGTCTCCCTGAGGGTGTTGAAAATCTCAAACATGGCACTTCCTCAGAAATCCTTGGTAGAATCAGCCATGGAATATTTATGCTCCAAGATCCGGTTGAGGGTCTGTTTCAAGATCTTCAACCAGATTGTATAGTCACTGATATGATGTATGCTTGGACTGCAGAAGCAGCTGCAAAATTAGGTATTCCAAGGATTCACTATTACAGCTCAAGCTATTTCTCCAACTGTGCCTTTCATTTTATCATCAAGTATAGACCTCATGATAATTTAGTTTCTGATACACACAAGTTTACAATTCCTGGTTTGCCTCATACCATTGAGATGACTCCTCCGCAGCTTCCTGATTGGTTAAGGGAGAGGAATCCTGCCACAGCCTATTTTGAACCAATGTTTAAATCTGAGGAAATAAGCTATGGAACACTATATAATAGTTTTCATGAACTTGAAAGTGATTATGAGAAGCTTAGTAAGACTACAATAGGGATCAAATCATGGAGTGTAGGACCAGTTTCTGCTTGGGCTAACAAGGATGATGAAAAAAAAGCTAATAGGGGACAAATTGAGGAGCTTGGAAAAGAATCTGCAGAGTTGTTAAATTGGCTAAACTCAAAGCAAAATGAGTCTGTGCTTTATGTAAGTTTTGGCAGTCTTACTGTGCTAGTTCATGCTCAGCTTGTAGAAATTGCACATGCGCTTGAAAATTCAGGTCATACATTTATCTGGGTTGTGAGGAAAAATGATAGAGATGAGGGTGAAAATAGTTTCCTACAAGATTTTGAGAATAGGATGAAGGAAAGCAACAAGGGATATATCATATGGAACTGGGCACCACAGCTTCTGATATTGGATCACCCTTCAACAGGAGGGATTGTAACTCATTGTGGTTGGAACTCAATTCTCGAAAGCTTGAATTCTGGTTTGCCAATGATCACATGGCCAATGTTTGCTGAGCAGTTTTACAATGAGAAGTTGATTGTTGATGTTTTAAAGATAGGGGTCCCGGTAGGAGCAAAAGAAAACAAGTCATGGAATAGCATTGTTGTAGAGGCAGTGGTGAAAAGGGAGAAAATAGTAAAGGCTGTGAAGATTTTGATGGGAAGTGACCAAGAGAGCAAAGAAATGAGGATTAGAGCAAAAAAACTTGGTGATGCTGCTAAGAAGACTATAGAGGAGGGTGGAGACTCTTACAACAACTTGATTCAGTTGATTGATGAGCTGAAATCATTGAAGAAATCTAAAGCACTTGGTGAGAAAGAAGATTAGACAATTGCATGAAAGAATTGTCTTGGTGCCTTAGGATGTGTAGGTGATGAAGGTTTAGAACATGATGAACAACATCCAAGTATTTCCTCCAGCTGTTTCAATAAGATGAAACACTATCCAATCATTCTTGTGCACTGCAATGATGATAAAAGAAGTTAGTTTTTACTATCAAATTATCATATTAAGCTAATAAAAATATGTATTGATGAATTAAATTTTGTTGTTTACTATGGTTTGCCATGCCTTATAGTAAATTTACAAGTGGTCATACTATTTCATCACTACAAATATTATAGTGTTCCATCACGCCATGGGTTATATTCTAGTACATAAATCTGAGACTAGTAAAGTATATGTTGATGAGAATTGCACATAATTCACTTTATGTTATGTCAAAGATGGGTTAGGTGACCAAATTCTTTCTCTAACATCACTTTGTGCAATTTTTCTCTTTGACTTAGGTAAGGGTTGAAATTAAATAAGGCGATATGGTATATCCTTAAGATTCATTGGGGATAACACTTGAGAAGAAGAGAAGGAGAGAATGATTGAGAGAAATTTGTCAGAGAGTGAAAGGTGATTATCACATTGAATTACTTGAGATTTATTTATGTATAGTTATATACAAAGTAGATGTTATTTGCTCAGCAAGTAACTGCCTTTTAACAAACTAAAAGCAATTGTCAACCTAATGGTCTCATGTCTTGCAATTGGTGAGAAAACCTCATCATAATCAAATCATTGTTTTTGCAGGAAGCCTTTTGCAACAAGGTTGACTTTGTGCTTGACAATCTTTCCTTTAGAATTTATTTTGAGCTTGAAAACCTATATGTATGAAGGTAAGATAAGTACACAAGAAGAGCGAGGGGGGGGGGTGTTTCTTAGTTTGCATCTTATTAGAGTTCAGAATCTAAACTGATATTCAGATTCTGGTTAATTCTTAGTAGCAGAATGTTAATAGAAACAAATAAATAATAGCAGAAGATACAAAGATTTATACTGGTTCATCTCCTAACTGAGATTAGTCCAGTTTCATTGCTTCACAAGAGATTTTCCATATAATGAAATCATGATTATAATCGCTTATGCATTCTACATAAGACTTTTACACTTTCTCAGACCCAAGGTCCAAGACTTCTGCTCAAGGTCCTCACTCGAGATTTCCTGCTCTGGTTCCACGAACCAAAGACTTCCTTGCTCAGGCTCTTAGCCCAAGACTTCTACTTCAAGTCTCATGAAACGAGCCTCTCAGCTTGCACGTCTCAGGTCAAGAATTACTGTTCCAATTCCATGAACTAAGAATTCCTTCTCAAGCCCCTCAGGCTCAAAACTTCTGCTCTAAGTTCCATAAAACGAGCCTTTGCTTTCACCCCACCGGTCAAGACTTACTGCTCTAAATTTCATGAACCGAGCTAACCTGCTCAAGCCACACTGTCTCAAGACTTCAATGCTCAATCAATATACTTGATTAAGACTTTCACTGCTCAAACACATAGCAAGAGACTTACGTGGCACAAGCATTTTGGCTTGAGACTTCCTTGCTTGTATCCCAATGACGCAAGACTTTTATCTAAACTGCCGAACAAGCTCAGTAGAATAGAGAACAAGGTGTACATGATACAAGTATCAAAGGTACGGAAAATCACTATAACAAAGAGTTTTTGTACTATTAGAGGCGTTAATAGTATATATCCAATATGTAACATGTTTAACCTTTAAGTCTTCAAGAGTTTTTGTACGGGAAGATCTTAATCCAATGTATAACATGTTTAACCTTTAAGTCTTCAAGAGTTTTTGTACTATTAGTGCCGTTAATAGTAGATATCCATAAAGCATCTCAGCTTTTCTTGAGCCTTGCAATGTGTAGAATCTAGCTGACAAACTGATTTGACAATACAACTTGTTTTCTACAGTACAAACAACTTCATCTTTATTACCAACTCTGGATGTTACCAGAAGGCAATTTTCATTCACTAAGTGTAGAGAAAATAATGTTGTTTCTTCTGATGCTGAGACTTTCAGCTTCAGAGTCTTCGTCAGACATCACTTAGCAAGTGTTCTTTAGATTCTGCCACCAGAAGCTAGTAATTTAGCAACTCTCAAAGTATGATTAATGTAGAACAGATTTTGACAATAATATTTACAAGTATTAGAACATGCACACATGTAACACACATCAAATAAATCATTGTTCTTTCAATACTTTGTTATCATCAAAACCCAAGGAAAATATATTGTAAACAAATATTGGTCTAGAATCTCCCCTTTTTTGATGATGACAAACACAAGTATTTAAAGGACAATGTTGGGCAGTTATAATTTTCTTTGCAACATCAGGGTATGAGGTTTATAAGCCCCCTTGAGTCTAATAGTCTAAAGCAGATTTCTGTAGACATCATACTAGGTATTACTCTTAAGACAAAGTAACTCAACTTTTTAGTAACATCAGAGTTTAAGGTTTGTAAGCTCCCTCTGAGTCAAACAGTTCCAAGATTGAGGTTTGTAAGCTCCCCTAAAGTTCCATATTTGAGAAAACCAAAAATAATATTTTAACTTCCTTTGGCAACATCAGAATATGAGATTTGTAAGCTTCTTCTAAGTCTGATAAGCTAAGACTAAGGTTTGTAAGCTCCTTCTTAGTTCTATGTACAAGAAAGTTAAAATGTGTCTCCCGGGCAAGATAACCATAAAAATAGAAATATAAATAATATTATAAATGACAAATATGTATAACTAAATAGGTACTCAATGGATTCCGTTTCTAATGATATACTTACCATTATTTCTTCCCCTTTTGCCACATCAAAAAGAAAACCAAAAGAGAAGAAGAAAAGAATTACAGTCATAAATGCATCACAGGTCATCATTACATGATCAATTTCCAAGAAAATGAAAAACGATCAAGTAGCATGGGGTCATTAAGGATTGTATAGTGCATGCTTTAAATTTTTAGTGCTCGTTACTGTTCCAAGAATCAAGAAGGATTAAATCATACATTTGAGTTGCTCATAAGTCATTATAAAAGAAGTCCAGACATAATTCATTTTCATCAACATCCAACAGAGTCATGGAGGCATCAACTGAGAGTTATAAGACTTCTGTAGTAATAGAAATCTCTGAGAGCTCTATAAGACAAGATGTCCAGAGTGTTCAGAAACAAGATGTTTCTTAATCATATACCATTGGGCATGTTCCCTCTGCAAGACTCACTTCTGAAGAAGCAACGTCAGCAGCTCCAACATAACCTACATGAGTAGGTTCATCAGAAGTTGTGATGAAGCCAAATAGAAAGATAATGAAGAGATCAAAGAAGAGAAGACGGTCCAACAAGTTGTTCTACCATCTAATCCCAGAGGCAGAAGAGGAAGAAATTGATGAGGATAAGCTAGACATAGGCTATGACAACTGTTATCATCATAAGGCTCAAGATGACTTAGATATGGACCTATAATAAGCATTACCAGTTCCTTATGAATCAATATTTTGTAATCCTCAGCTTCAATTAATGAAAATCACCTTTTTGACCAAATTTTGTTTATTGCATGAAAATACTTTCAATAACTTCCTTTAGATTTACTGAAAGACATTAATGAAGTAAAACTGACACCAGAAACATCAGTTAAACGAGTCAAGTAAAATATTCATAGTTGTTAAAGAATCTTTAATAGGTTAGACTATTAGATAACATTTCCAAGATATATCATTTAAGATATTGATAAGACTTAATCAATATTAAAACAACATATACTTGGAACAATGTATGTAACAAATCATAGCATGAATACTTTCATAATCACTTAATCCTCAAAACACCAAGATATACAAACATAAACAAATATGGGTTTCAAAGAGAGATTTCAGAAAGACAACCATACTAAATGCAGCAACTTAGGAAAGTGAAAGCAAAACAGAAACTGAAGGATCTACTAACAAGCATATGACTTCAGAAGCTCTCACCTCTTCAGTATCCTTTGTGAAGACACATAGAAGAAGAATATCTTCTGGGTCCAGACGCATAAATCAACTGAGAAAGGAGGCTTTAGAGTTTGCCAAGGAAGAATGACAAGATTACTTAGATAATCTGGACATATCAGATGATCCTAGAGAATACCTTAGGGCCAATCCAACAAACTAGAATGTCTAAATAATTTATAATCTCTTCCTTCTTATTAATGATAAAAGTTGCAAACAATAAGTTCTTACTCCTATTACTTTTAATTCTTTTGAACAACCATAAATAAATATCATCAATAGTTAACTGAACAACAACATGAACAAACTTTGAATTAATAATAAGATAACTTAATACAAAGGTTCTAACATTACAAGGCATACCAATACAGAAATATAACATCAGATTCTTTCATAGATAGATTCAAACTTGTCTCTCCAAATGTTAGACAAATGAGCCTCTGAAGTTATGATAACTCCCTGCCGAATAAGTAATTCTGAAAGAACTCGTCCAAAAGGAATGAAGAAAATCTTTCCCTTGTGAAAGGAAGAAAGAGTCTTCTTCACATAGTCAAACATAACTTGAGGAAAATAAATCTGGAGGTCTAAATTGAGAAGCAGAAACATATCTTTTTCAATAGGGTCCACAAGGTCTAAATCCTTATCCTTAGGAAGTAAGTTTAAATTCAAAACCCGATTCCAAACAAAAACATCAGAATGAAGATTTGATGCCTTTGATGTATTAGATAGATCTACAAAGATACGTCAAGTAGGAAGATAATGTTCCCAAACAAGAGTTCTTGAGATTTCACCAATTTCCTCATAATTGATCACATTAGCAATCACTTTAGAGGTTACTGTTATAGAAACACCAGTTACTTTAGAAAGAATAACACACTCATAATTCAACTCAACAATGGAATCATTAATCCAAAACTCTTGGACAAGATCTGGATAAGTGAAACCACAGAGCATCTCAAAGTATCCATTCCATCCTTGTTCATACACAACCCTCTAGAAGTTAAATAATAACTTAAGCAACTCATCAA